GGGTGAGAGCAGTGGTGGTCAGGAAAGGAATTCCCCTCCTCTGTATTCAATTCTCACATGTCTCAAGAAACAAGAGAGTATTTTGAGCCCAGAGTAAATCCTGCAATAGTTTCTCAGTTACATAGATTAGGACAAACCCTTTAAAACATCCCTTATTGCCAAGACCATCTGTTCTTATTTAAATTTTTTCAAATACTATATTTTGCTTCTATGGAAGAAAATAGCTTAATTTCTATCCTGATTCTCTCCCCTTCCCTTAACTCTATCAAAAGCTCAGGACATTTTTGCCCAGCTCTTTACTTCACTGACCCTATGGAAGAGGAGAACTTCTTGTTGCACTGGAAAAAGAAAATCATGGAACATTTCCTTTATCAAGGTATTTAAAATCATTATTTTATTAAATATCACAAAGGGTAGTTCAATTACACTTCTGATAAAAACCAGTACGCCACATTGGGCCTTTTTTAACTAAAAAATTCTAAAAACATTTTTTAAAAATCAAGAAATTACTTCAGGGTTGTGAATCCCGTGGCATTTTCACCCCTTCCTCGAGGCTCTATGAAGGCTGGCCTGGGAGTATTTGACTGCCACAATATGGGGGAGCCAGTATGAGCCCAACCAGCAGGGAAAAAAAAAAATCAGTATGTTCTTGTTTTTCTGTCCCTACCTGGTGTACATATGGCTATGGGATTTTCTACTTTTCAGTAGTTTCTGGTCCAAAATTGTTTTACTTCAGCTCTTTGGGGAAAATGATCTATGAGGTACTTGCAATGTTGAGACCTTTTATCAGGGGTTTTAAAATGGCAGTGTGTCTCATAAGTCCTATACCAGAGAGAAAATTTAGCTATTTTTCGAGGGACACAAGAAAATAGCCCAAGACAGGCTAAAAGGAGGAGGAATTCGATGTTTTATAAATTACTGCCTCTCAACACCTTCACATACCCTTAGGACTACCTGGAAAAAATAAGCAGAAAGGCATACATTTGCCAAGATTTCTTGGGATACACAATTTAACAGACCACTTTTCAAAACAAGCTGATCTGTGCATTTTAGAAATTTATTACCCGGAAGTTTTAGTCAGCAATGCTCAAGCCTACTCATTTTATAATGGAACTTCTAGTGATGTTTGCTTTAAAAAAATAAAGAGTTTTATTAGGGTCCAATGAGTAAAATTTAGCAGCATACACAATACTGCATAAAGTAATTGTGTCTGTGAATAAATTTTTTTTTTTAGAAAGAACATTATTCTGGGATATAAAAACCTTAAAAAATAGAGAGATAAGGGTTTCTCTGTCTTCCACAGAACTGTCATGTTTCCATGGTGATGAAGCCAGTGCTTGATACCCAATTAACCAAGGTGATCCTGGGTTTCCTGCTTCCTCATTCCATGTACTAGGAGCACACAGAAGGGAAGGGGAGAACAAGAGAAGCGCCTGAGAGCTGGACAGAAAATTGCCAGGAGGCTCGGGGTCTGGTCTCCAGAGATTTTATGCCAATACCACACACAGAAATGACATCCACTGTTCATTATTTTGTATAAGTGGTATTCCACTTTAAACAATAGCTTTTGAGTACTTTCACAAAACATTCAAAACTGAAAAACACTTGCATTAGGCAAGCAGTTTCCACAGCCCTCTAGATAAATGAAAGTGATGGACACCCTACCTCACTCTCCTGAAGCATTTCTACTCTTACTGGGTCCTCTCCCACCTTTGAACTTCCCCACAAGTGCACTACCCAATTGTCATTCTCTTTTGTTAAAGCAGAATCTGAATCCACCCTTGTAAACCTTCTTCATCAGCTGGGTGGAGGAGTCTCCAACTTCCCTGTTTGGGACAGCTGTGTTCTTTGTGTTTCACCTTGACTTCAGCCCTTACTATGCATCTGATTAGTGTGTTTTCAGTGTAACAGTGCCTCCTAAATTTGGTTGTTAAGAATCATCCTAGGCAGAGTACTGGATCCTATTCTAGTAGTACAGAGTCAGAATCTCTGAGAAATGGTCCCGAAATTTATAAACTTACAAGTTTTAATAAACTTACAAGTTTTGCCAGGTTTGGGAGTCATTGAGGTATGATTTAGTTTGTTTCTATTCTGTTTTCTGCATTCACTCAGGTGCACAGGTATCTGCAAACATACCTGACAGTATTACAAGGAAGATTCCCAGTAGAAGAAAAATGATCTTTTCTATTAAAGTATATGTCACCCTCTTAGATTAAAATTCCTCAGGTCGCCATCTTAGGTGACTTGCATTATTTAAAGGGTTCCTGTTTCTTCTTCCAGATTCTTGTACAGTTTCAGAGCCCACCAAATTACATGCACTAACCCATCCCCCAAGCCTTTTAGCCAATTGAGAAAGGTTGTGAACCTTTGACCTGAACAAATACCAGGTGAGGGGCAGGTACAACTGCGTCAGGGATATGAGGAGGAGCCATGGTCAGCCATTTTGTGCTCAAGTGTCCACTCAGCTGGAGTGAGTACATGCTTGCACCCTTTTGATCAAAAGAAATTGCCTTGTCAAGACCTTCTCTATCTCTCATGTGTCAGTTTTCAGCATCCGAGGGTCTTTAATTACAATAACAGGTACCAGCCCAAGTTTACCAAACTGACTCTTTGTGGTATGGTCTGGGAATCTGAATTTTAACAAATTTCTCCCAATAACCACTGCCCTTTCAGGAGTCAACCTACAACCTCCATAGGTACCAGCCAAGTCACCTCAGTGAACACGAATGACCAGAGAGACACTAATGTCCTTTGTACAAGGGGAGGTATGCCTTTGCCTGAGCAGTTTGTTGCTATTTTGCCAGATTAGAAAAAGATCCAATATGACTGAAGTTTTGAATTTTTCAGAAGAAAGAAATTTGAAGAAATTAAATTTCTTACAATTCAGAAAACAACCAGTAAACAAACAGCAGTCACTGGCAACTTGACCCTCTGCCTTTGAGACTTTTACCCATGTACTTTGATTCTCTGGATATTTGCAATGTCGTGAGTCATAAGGAGCCTTACCAAGTGATGTCTTATGAATTACACAGTGTCATAGGATCACAGGGTTACAAGGTTCTTTTGGGCCATTGGGCTACTCCTATCATTTAATGTTTGAATTCCCCTCCCACTACTGATGATCTTCTGCCTGTACTGTGTACATCCTAAAGTATTATGGCCACCTCCACTAGTATATCTTACCCATACCTCAAATGCAACCTGCTTCCCAATAAAATTGTCATTTTCTAGTGTTACTCCTCCAAGTGTTGTTTTCTTTGTGTTCTCACTGAACATCAATACTAACCATCAAAGCAAGAAACAAGGGTATCTACCCTTAATCCTTTGGCCTTCTTCACAGCCCCTATATTGGATCCTCTACCAAGTCTTGATAATTCTACTACCACCACTGTAAAATCTACAATCTGTCGCCTACTCTAGGCTAGCTTCTTGGATGTTTTTTCATTGTACAAATAACAGTTCACTATCTCATAACCTCATCTTACAGAGAAAATCCTCCTCTTTATCTATGGTTTGGGGCCCAGTGAACCTTTCCTCTTTGGCTGAAGTTTGAGCTTATATGGAAGAGCATAATTTATTTGAAGTGAACTTTTCATCTTATAAAAGACTTTGAACACTTGTGTCAAGTTCAGGATCATGGAACTGGCCTTGGGAAAAAACAGAGCTTTAACACTGATTGGGTAGATTCCTCTTCTTACTGAAAGAGGAAAGGTGACATAGAACAGCAATTAGACAGATGGCCTCAGGTGTCATACTTTCCAGGTCTTCTGATGAAGAATTTCTGGTGAAAAGCATCTCTTGCGGCCCACATGTAGCTCTAGAAAAACCTCCATCAAAGTAAAAGCCCAGCAGCAATTGAGACCAGCTGGAAACATGGGCACTGCTGCCAGGGCTCAAAATATCTTATCAGGTTCTCTTCCAATGTCAAAGCAATTACAAGCAGGAGTATGAAGAATTAACACCCATTCATAATAACATGCATAAAATCTTAGTTGGAAAGTTCTAGGTCTTTTGCAAAGTATGTCAAACATCCACAACTTCCATTATCTTGGCATCTTTCTTTTTAAAGAGAGTTATACAATTTAACATGAAAATTATGTCTAAGGTAATTAGGAAACTTTTCAAAAATCTAGTAGTGTCAAATTCCTACATGGTATTACTAAAAGGAGTAATACATATTTATTATACAAAACAAAATAAAAATGGATTTTTTACTTTGACAGTAAGACTCATGTATAAGAACACTTTAATGTAATATAAAACAAGCATTTTTATCTCATTGTCAATAGGTTTTTTCCCCCTAATACCCCTAATAAGGAAGCGATGAAAGCATAGATCAGCTAGTCTGTAACTGAAGATCCGAAGAAAAGTCTTCCTGTTAGCTAACATTTCACCAAAAGGGTGGTAAAATGCAAAACAAATGCACCAACTTATTCATCAGTCATCAAGTGAGAGTCAAATGCCTCTTAGCACCTCTCTAGATATTTTAGTTTGGATGATGAATAAAGAAGGAAGCTCTTTAAAATGTCAAATCTAGAAAAGATACCACCTTGAAACAAATAACAGCAATTCCTAGAGATAGTAAAAATAAGAAGTTGCAATATCTGTGCTCAGTGACATGGGGGTGTAATTCACCTTCCCAATCTTATCCCTTCATTAAGATCACATGAGTCTTCCTTGTAGTGTAAGTTTTAATAAATGGAATAAATTTTATGGAAAAAAAAAGTCTAGGTCACCTAGGCCATTGGTTCTTGTAGCTCTCAGGTTGGGGGAAGATCCAAGCATGTACAAAGATGAGTGAAAGCAGGCAGTTAGCACTTTCACTGTCTTTCTATCTACCTGCAGAAGCTTTTAGCACATTTACAGAAGCCAGACAATGCGAGCTCTTTTGATACTAGGTCTCTGGGTGTAGCTTTCAAAATAATTCTTTGTTCCACTCTTCCCGTGTATCCAACTGCGCCCAGCAGGTAGTCTAGAGTGTGAATTTCAAACATGTGCTGTTAATATGCCCAAAACTGTTGCTGTAAAGGAGGGAAAAAACACATTAATTGAATCTCAGCCCATTCTTACTCATAATATCACAAGTCTATTTTCTACATCCTAAAATGATATATTTACCTGTAGATAACTGAATCTATAGGTTTAAAAATATTTATTAAAGTAATTCTTTTCTTACAATAATTGTGCATTAAAAACATGTGGAAGGGCTGGCAAAGTGGCTCAAGTGGTAGAGTGCCTGCCTAGCAAGCATGAGGCCCTGAGTTCAAACCCTAGTACCAAAAGGGGGAAAAATGTGGAATAAATACATATCAACAACTAAAAAATAATAGGCCAGGTAGAAGGAAAAAGCAAGAAAATATCTTGCCCAGGAGTTCATGATCAGACTGGGCAACAAGTCGAACCCATTTCAGTCAGTCAGTCAATCAATCAATCAATCACTCAATGCTGTGACCTTTTTTTCATTCACTTGCTCTTACTGTTGGAATACTGACAAAAATTAGCAACACTCCTAAATCTCTGGCTACCCCATGTTCTGGCATCTCTATGAAATTCTGTTTGGGAGATTTTTCTCGCAAATGGCTTTGGAATGCCCATTATTATTCCCATTTCACAGATGTCATGTGGAGATAACAATATGTACCCTCATAGGAGTGCATCAGGGATTCATCAGATCATCCAGTCAGTCTGGAGACTGTGTGGCACATTACCTGAGTGCTCAAAACATGTTAGCTACTATTAATATCAAAGAGCATTAGCATTAAAGTTATCAGAAGAAGTGCATTTTGAGTGGGCCAATATGGTCTGAGTCTTTCACTAGACCTGAGCAGTTCTTCCAAAAAGTGAAGATTTCATGGTTTACATATGTGGATCCATCTGTGTAGAATGCTCTTCCCTCTTTAACTGTCTCTAAACCACTTACATGGTTACTTCTTTGTCTTTAGATCGACTTTTCCAGGAAAAAGCAACCTCTAACCTCTCCTGAGTCTAGGTAATGTGTGTATTAGGATACTTTTCCTACATGCTCCAACCCCTGTCACAACTGCCTGCTTCCCTGCATCTCCATGACACTTCAGGACAGAAAGGATCATGTCTATATAAACTACATTCTTAGCATAATGGGCAAGCACAGTGCCAGAACATAATGGGTACTCAATAATCATCTATATGACACTCAATATCTGAACTCAGCCTGGTGGTGAGTTCTCTCTCTCATGAGAGAGAACTGAGAGAAAACAGCAGCAGTTATGGGGCCAACAGAGGGGGAAGATGGTGAAATGGGATATGGCATCCTAGGAGATCTGAGTAGAATCAGGGGGTCAAGGGGAGGGGAGATCAGCTCTGGGAGAAATCAGGTCCATTGGGTAACTTCCTGTCTAAGTAGCTGAATCACATACAGATTTACTGCTCCTGGATATCCAGACACCAGCCCTGCAGCCTGGGGAACAAGAGCCCAGGTTAACTGTACATGGTTTTCACCCACCAGGTAGAGTAACCAAGAAACTATTACAGCTCTTAGGTACCAGTTTAACAGCCTTCCAACCAGAGTAATAACAATAAAGTGTAAGTCAGGGGCTTCTGTGGCTGGAGAAAGAATCCAGTGTGACCCTCGGACCCCCAAAGACTTACCAGGCAGTTGGGATGTGTTGTGCATGTCTGGCCCGGCATGGAATTGCAGTGCTGGGGAAGAAACTTTGAGACTTTGGGCACAGCTGGTGGTAAATGAATTGAAAGGTTCTGATTTGTTATGGCAGCTGCATCATAGGCAGGGATGACTTTAGAATAGTATCTGACAGCATGGAAGGAATTAAGAGAGAGGGCTGTGTTGGGAATTTGGGTTTTATACAGATCACTAACAGCACTCTCTGAAATGGAGCTTGACTGACCTGTAATAAGAAAAAAAACCAAACAAGTATCTGTCAGCTCTGTAACTCTGAACTACAATATTGGAAATAAATTGTTCTCTATTTTTTCACATTACACACATTCACTATTGCTACAATCAAATTTTGATGAATAAATAACGTAGATTTTTTAGTAGTGACATTTAATCTGAGGTTCACATTATATATTAGTGTTTGTGTATGAAAAGAAATTTTAGAGATGCAGTAGCTCTCTGTGCCTTTTAGGGTGTGTGTGTGTTTCAACAGTGACCATCTATCTCTATGAAACAAGGAAGGATGTGGGAAAGAACAACTCTGCTGTTGACTGATGGTTGATTTTTGCACCTCTGAAATAGGTTTTTATCTTTATCCATTTATATTTTACACAGCAAAATATACAAGTATTTTAAATATATAATGTTAGCAATATAATATCAAATAACACTATGACTATTTTCTTTTAAACAGTAATAAGAATGAAAGTGACATAATGCATCTTTATGTCCACTTTAAATACAAATGTATCTGGAATATTTGTGAAAATAAGTGAAGCAAATGCGTACAGAGATTTATGGAAAAGAACTGGAAAAGGCAAGCTGCAAAGTCTAAACATGTCTACCTCACAGGTCAGGCTAAGCACAGACACCTTGGGATCGTGGGTGGCCATTTCACTTCTCTAGCCTTCAATATCCTGTCTTGGACAGTGACTGAAATTTGGAAGACTTCACTGATCACAATTCTTTTGATGCTCTTTCAAAAGTAATTTGGCAATGTGCATTAAGAAACACACACACACACACACACACACACACACACACACACACACACACACACACACACATATGCTTCGTGTTCTCTATTTTGTAACTCATCCATCACCTACTTCCAGGAACACAGCCCAAGGAGAACGTCCAAAATACAGAAAACCCTGAATGTGCACAAGTCTTTCCTATAACATGATACATAAAATCTTTCTGTCCCTAAACTGGAAATGCTAAATATAGCAGCTAGAAGTTGCTAAGAAAATTATCCCACAAATCATTTGATAAACTATTAAAACCATTAAAATGGTGATGAGGGATATAGCACATATGACATAAAGTTAAATAAAAAAAATTGGGAGAGGAAATGGGATATCCAATATAGCTCAATACTAGAGAAAAATATACCTGGAAAAAGACTTAAAGGAAATACATAAAAGTGAATGGTAAAGAGCTTAGCCAGTTAGCAAAAGATTCATATTACTTTCCAAATGGGAAAGTGTATATACGTAAAATTAATTAGGGGTTTTGACTTATTGGCCTTCCAGATCTTCTCCCGTTTGAACATGCTGTAAGTCTACAGTTCTAGCATATTTGTGTCTTGCCAAGAGCAGTCTCTTGGAGATGCGACACCCAAACTCACTGAAACCCTGAAGCAGTATTTGTGAATATGCACAGTATTCCACATACAAGAAATAGCACTGACAGACATATGCCGGTGGCCTGACTGCCATCTGATTTAATCATCCTGTGTTACATTCAGTCATAGCTACTTTAAGCTGTTTTTTTTTTTTCTTTCTTATTCTCCTCCCTTCATGCTTAGGTCAGGAGAAATGCCTATAGTGATTAATAAAATTCTGAGTCTTATTTGACTGTGTGAACAGGAGGGCTGTGTTCTATGTGCGGCCCTTTTCTCTTCTGACTTTGGACACCAACCCTAGGAACCTCATTTGTTCCTGTGGCTCCCACTATGTTCTCTGCTATGCACTCCTCACACTGGGTAAACCACAGCTTGTGTTTGTATTCCTCTCTGCCACCAGTTTGGAAGCTCCATAAGAACAAGAACTGCATCTTGTTTATCTATACAATTCCATCTCTGAGGCAGGGACATTTAAGCTGAGAACTAGGGGATGGATTTGGAATTAGTGGGAAGAATAAGGGGGAAGGCCATTCCTGGCACATTTCTCTCTGGAGGGAGAACGCTATCCCTTGGAGGAAGTTGGCAGAAAGGTCACCTAAGACAGGACTGAGGAGGTTGGCAGTCCTGTCACCCAGCATCTAACACTCGGGCTAGAGTCCACACCATACTGGTTTCTCAATGGGTAGTAACATTTAAGAATAATAGAAGGCACAAACTGGTAGCTGTGTTCTTTTTCTCTAGCTCTGTTCTTTCCCATCTTCTTATTTCCACAAGCACATGGAAATGCTTAGGCTAGACAACACATATAACAAAAACGCCTCTCAGTGGGTAAACATGTTCCATGATGAATGTTTGCATAATAAGCACTGTTCAAGTACTACTGTGTACCAGTCATTGCTCTAGGTACAAGAAATACAGACTGAACAAAGATAGGAGAAAAATAAGCTCTCTAACTTCATGGAGTTTTCATTCTACTGGAAGAAGAGAGCAATAAATAAAACATACAAGTAACAAATATTAGCACGGATAAAGACTCTGAAGATAAATCCAGCAGAGAAAGTTGACAAGGGCTGCCCTGCACTGGGTGTGGTGGGGCTGGGTGGGCAGGTTTAACTGAGTAGTTCAGAGGGACTCTCAGAGAAGGTGACATTTAATCAAACACATGAAAAAGGTACATAAATTAACATGATAAATGCCCAGTACACAGTCAGTACTGAATTAATAAAGAGGACAGTCGGCACTCCATACCTGTGAATTCCTCCCAATCTAGAACAAAGATGGGCCAAGATATTTTTTTAAATATTGCATCTGTACCAAACATGAAATTGTTTTAGGAAAGGGGGTTGGGGACTAGAGAGGATGACGGAGGGGATGAATAAAATCAAGGTACGTCATAAGCACATATGTAAATATCACAATGAAACCCCTTGAAGGACTAATATATGCTAACAAAACGTAAAAAGAATTGCATCTGTACTAAACACGTACACTTTTTTCTTGCTATTATTCCCTAAACAATATAATGTAAAAGCAATTTGCATATCATTTACATTTCATCAGAATTGTAAGTCATCTACAGATGAATGAAAGTATTAGGTTTGATACAAATACTGTGGAATTTTTATTTAAAGAGATCTGAGCATCTGCAGGGGGTCCTGAAGCCAATCCTCCATGTATACTGGAGGATCACTGTACTTCTCTTCCCTTTATTTTTTGGGGTGGTATTGAAGTTTAAACTCAGAGCCATGCATTTGAGCCACACCTCCAGTCCTTTCTTGGTTTTATATTTTCTTCAGGTAGGGTTTGTTGCTTTTTGCCTGAGCAATTCTCAGACCATGATCCTCCTACTTGGACCGCCTGTGTACCTGAGACTACAGACATACACTACCACACCCCTTTTTGTTTGTTCATATGGGGTCTTGATAACTTTTTGCCTAGGCTGGCCTCCAATCATGATCTTCCCAATCTCTGCCTCCCTCAGCTGAGATTACAAGTGTGAGTCACTGCACCTCTGAATCTTTTTTTTTTTAAATATTTTGAGACAAGTTCTTGTTATATAGCCCAGGTGGTCATGAACTCACAATCCTCCTGCCTCAGCCTCCTGAGTGTTGGGATTACAGGCATGAATCACCATGTTTTGCTTCTCTTCCTTTAGATTCTATTTATGTAATAAAGTCAACAAGATCACCAGCAACTTATCATCTATTAGCAAGATGAACTTCCCGGTAATTATGGTCAATTTTGAGCCAGTTTCTGTGATAACTATTTACATGTCTGTAGCCACTTTATGTTTTTCAAGTTGACAACAATAGAAGGACTCACAGTCAGCTGAGCATGGTGATTCACACCTGCAATCTCAGCACGCAGAGGCTGAGGCAGGAGACAGAAAGCTCACGGCCAGTCTGGGTGACACAGCAGGTTTCAGGCCAGCCTGTGCTATGTATAAAGACCCTTTCTCAAAAAATGAAAAGAATTCACTGTGCAATCTTCGAACTACACTTGATCCCTGGTTATGAAGTACACAGGGACCCAGGTGTGTGCAGGTGTCCATGCAGGCCCAAGTGCCTGGAGAGTGCCACAGGCGTGAGGTGAGGCTCACCTCTCACAGCTTCATCCAAAGGAGCCCCCTGCAGCAGGCACAGAACATATATTCAAGCACTTACTAGCCGTGACCTGCTTCCTTCTCACAGATGAGTTAGTGCTTATCAAGAAACTTGAAAAGGACAAAACAGTCTCTTTGCACATTTCTCCAGGAACACAACAAGAACACTGCTGAGTTAAAATGTTCTTTTGTTATTCAAGTTCTAAAAACCCCTGAGCGACCTCCAGTATGAGAACAAAGGGGGAACAGGACCCCTGGTGAATGATTCTCCTTAGGAATGACTGGCTCCTCCCCTATAGTTTTTCTTTGTTTACATTGTCCAATAAATCTGAGTAAATAAGCAATCATTTGGCATGCCTCATTTTGTACCAATGAGTTTCTTTAAGGACTGATAACTGAAATAAGGCTGGATCTTCCAGGGTCTTCTACCTCTAGGACAGAGGAACACTGGCCTCCCTCATGCCCCTGCTAGATTGTCATTGTCATTACAGTCAGGGGCTGCAAAGCTCTACTTGAGCTCCTCAGGAGTCACCAGAGAGTGAGTGAGATGATGAAGGAAGCATGAGCCTGAGAATATCACAAGTGCTTATCACTGTGCTGCAATAATACGTATCAGCAATGGGAAACATTCACTGATCCTGAACAAATACCTACGCACCTACCATCAGAATTTGGACTCCCAAAAGTCTGCTCATACCATTGTAGCATGACTGAGCCTGGGAGGGATGGGTGGGTGGACTTTTGCTTCTTGCAAAACCTCTTATTGCTCTGAAAAGCTTCTGCAATCTAAAACAAAAAACAAAAAAGCCCCACAGAGATTGTAGATAAAAATAGGCTTAGATAGCTATTTTTTACATGTACAAAGACACACACATTTCCAATTATAAACAATGAAAGGAATAAAATCCTAGCAGGAAAGCAGTGCCTGTAAGCATAAAGGTCAAGGTTTTGGGAGGTGAATACCTGGTCCATAATAGCTGGAGGGAGTTTTTCCCGGATACACTTCACATAATCCACGGTTGCCTCAAGAACTGAAGCTGTGTCATTCTTCCTCCCCTTCGTGTACGGCAAGAGAGTGCGCAGCTGCTCACAGCAATACTTGATTCGTTCTCTGATCAAACAATTGCAGTAAGTAAGGAATAGTTAGTCTCATTTTCTTCTTTGTGCACAAAGACAAACAACCCTTCCTCTTGGATTTGTTGTAAAGGAACTGTCTCCCTTTCCATCTCATCTGTGTTTCAGAGCGAGGCCATGTGCTCACAAGCCAGCAGCCCTCACAAGCCCTGAAATCACAATCTCCTGGGCCACCTCCTCATATACTCACAAAGAACTGCCACTGAGGTACAATGCCTGTGCTGATGGCAGCTCAGCTCCCTTACCCCAGGCCTGCTGCAGTGTACAGGACAGCCAGACACTGGGGAAAAAACACACACCCTCAAATAGGGAAACCTGCACATACTCTGCCCACATGAGCTGAGAATCTCATGCTACATAAAAATCCTTCTGCAATTCACACTGGAAACCTAGCAGACAAGAACAGGCAGATCCACCTGTCACAGACTGGCCCACATTTCCAACATCTTAAACATGGACTTCACAGGTAATTCTGTAGCCCAAACCAAAGGAAAGTGAGAAGCCTGCTTCCTTTCCCTGGGGTAGGTACAGACAGAACAAATAAATCAATACGTGAATGAGAACACCCAGCCTAGTATCAGAAGGAAACTAAATCTTTCATGGTTCTGAAGAGAAATACATAGGAAATGCAGATCTAGTTGATTTAAGCCCTTATTGCCTTCACTCACCCACCTGCTCATTTTATAAACAGTATTAGGCATCTGTTTGTGCTGGAAACTGATAACCTTGACACATACAGGGTGGTTCTATTTGCAAGCTGAAAACTTAGGTAAATTACTAAACTTTTCTGAACTTTGAAGTGGCAGACAAATTAAATAAGAAATTGAGTTTGACCACACTAAGATTTAACCTCACCCCTGTCATAAGAAATACCACCAACAACAGGTGTTGGCGAGGATGTGGGGAAAAAGAAACCCTTGTACACTGCAGGTAGGAATGCAAACTAGTATAACCACTCCGAAAAAAAATTTGGAGGCTTCTTAAAAATCTTAACATAGACCTGCCATATGATCCAGCAATCCCACACCTGGGGATGTACCCAAAGGAATGTGACACAGGTTACTCCAGAGGCACCTGCACACCCATGTTTATTACAGCACTATTCACAATAGCCAAGTTATGGCAACAGCCAAGACGCCCCACTACTGACGAATGGATTAAGAAAATGTGGTATTTATACACAATGGAATTTTACTCAGCCATGAAGAAGAATGAAATCCTATCATTCGCAAGTAAATGGATGGAACTGGAGAACACCATTCTGAGCGAGGTTAGCCAGGCTCAGAAGACCAAAAATCATGTTTTCCCTCATATGCGGACTATAGATCTAGGGAAAATACAGCAATGTTGTTGGACTTGGGTCACATGACAAGGGGAGAGCACACATGGGAAGTATGGGAAAAGGTAAGAAACCCAAAACATGAAAGTATTTGATGTCCCCATTGCAGAGGAATTAATACAGAAACTTAAAAGCGACAGAGGTCAATATGAGAAGGGGATCAGGAACTAGTGAAAAGGTCAGGTAGAGATGAATCAACTTGGGCTGTTACACATTTGTACATGGAAGCAATACTAGGAATCTCTCTGTATGGCTATCCTTATCTCAACTAGCAAAAATGCTTTGTCTTTCTTATTACACGTATGTCTTTTCTTCAACAAAATTAGAGATAAGGGCAGAACAGTTTCTGCCTGGAAGCGAGGGGGTGGAGGGGAGAAGGAGAAGGAGAGGTTGAGGGTAGGGGGAGAAATGACCCAAACATTGCATGCACATGTGAATAAACAACAACAAAAAAAAAGAAATTGAGTTTGATATATAGCCAGTGATTAACTTAAATATATTCTACATCCCAGTGTTCCACTGGGCAGTGGGGGCTCTGGATTTTGTGCAGAGGTGTCTCAGGAACTATTCTGGACAGAAAAGGATGGAAGAGTCAACAATTTGACATATGTATGAAGGGATTTAAAACTTTCCATAACTTCTGACATGTACTTTCATTATAAATACCTACGTTAAAGGATAATCTAAAACAGAGAAAATTTTGTATAAAGATAACCCACTAGAGCTGTATATTAGTAAAAAATGGAAAACAGCATACACACCCAACATTGGGGAATTCCTTAAGTAAACTGTGTTATATTAATTCAGTAGAATATCATGTGACAGGGAAAGTGGTATGTTATAAAACTTATTGGAAAAAACAGCATACACTATACCTCTTCCATAATGAAAAATTTTATTAAACCTTTATTCAATGTTTATTAAGAAAATGTTCCAAGACACAAAAAGAAGTTAAAAGAATTACCCAGTGAACACTTACGTTCCTACCACTTAGCCTCCACAATTAACATTTATTCTTTCTTTCTTTCTTTTTATCTATCTATAATCTATCTATCAATCTTGTCCCGCTGCTCATACATCAAGCCATTTGATCATATTCAGTTGTGGACTCCATACACTATACCATTGAATATATCAGTAGCTAAAATTATTTTATTGTCAGGTAAAAGTTACATAAAATAAAATGCACATATCTTAAGGGTCCCATCCTATGAGTTTGGACAGACATACACATCTGTGTAATGGAAACTGTTGGCAATAATGGCGCTGGCAGGTTTCAGTTCTTACTGCACCCTTAAGCTTCTGTTTCCCAGGGTCACGGTCCTGCCTCAAGTCTAGCTTGAATCCTCCTTCTGCCCCAACCTCCAATCAGCATGAACCATAAGATCCTAACCAATCAGATCATGCTGAGCCTCACTGAGGGGTATTTAAGTCCCTGCCCTTCCTGCTTCTCTCTCTCTCTCTCTCTCCTCTCTCTCTCTCCCTCCCTCCCTCTCTCTCTCTCTCTCTCTCTCTCTCTCTCTCTCTCTCGGCTCTCTCCCTCTCCCACCCAGCAATAAAGAATCTCTTGGCCAGTTCACTCCTCTCCACGTGGTCACTTTTGGGGCCCACATTTCCAACATTTTGGTGCCATGACTCGGATGGGGGCTTCCCACTAATTCTGGTGGGACCCCCATTCCAACTCACCCCATGACCACCCTGAGGACTTGACTGGCCAGGACTCATCCTCCTGATTGCCCTGCTTGCATCCAACACCGGACATTCTTTGGTGAGTCCACATACCCTTACTGGGCTCCCTTTGCGGTCTCTCCCTTTGGTGTCTCTGGGGTTTAAACACCCCACCTTTTCGGATATCTCTGGGACTCAGATGGTAGAGGGGGGTTCCCTTCCCTCTGTTCGGCTTGGGTCTATTTTTGTCATCGGTCTCGGACACGGCCCATCTGCAAAGCCCGGCACTGGATGACCCACAGCCTCTGGGCCCCAGGGGCCCTACAAGTCACTTGAATGCAGTGATGACTGTTTCTCGTGTGCCTTGTACGTTCTCAGGATATTCGAGCCACGTGGGGATGCTCTGTGATTCCATATATCCTTTCAACCGGCTCCCACTATGGGGGCCACCTCCTCTTTGCCATCTGACTCCCCACTGAGATGCCTCCTCAATAATTTGGACACCTTGGGTTTGACCCCAGATATAAAACAAAAAATTTGATCCGCTTTTGCACCCAAATCTGGCCCACTTATCCTTTAGACAACCAAAGTCACTGGCCCCTTTTCAGGTCTTTAGATCCCAACCTTTTATGGGACATATAACTACTGTGAGTGATTGGGACGATGGGGAGAGATTCCATTTTGTCCAAGCCTTTTCATATCTCTGTCTAAATCTGGCTCTCTGACTTCAAACCCTCCCTCTGTACTTTCTGTTCCCCTGCACAGATTCTATCAGCCTATAAACCAGTTTCTAAATCAGCCAATTCCTCTCCAAACCTCCTCATTCCCCATGTAAACAGACTTCTTGCACTGCTTACCATACCTATCTCCTCCTATCTTCCTGAAAAACTTCCCCTGTCATGGAGTTAAGCAAGCCACTCCTTGCCAATTCTAGCCTCAAGGCGGTTCCAGCTCTGAGAGAGCTCATGCTTTATTCGGTGACTGGAGAGTGGAGGTTTCGTTTTGCTGAAAGCCTGCCAGTACCAATCAATAGGAGCAACCTAGAGACACAGGTGATGGCTAATCCCTTAAGCGTGTGTCATGTCTCTAGGCTGTGCCTTCCCCTCCCTACCTAAGATGTCAGCACACCTTTTCTGCCTCCTCCATGGTCTCACCACGTGTCCTTTGTCTCTGTCTGCCTTCCCCTCCCTGGGCTTACTGGGACCCTGCCTCCCATGAAAAACTTGTAGCATGGTACCTTATGACTTAAGTTATTCCAACTAGTTTGCCAGGCCTCTTAGTCTAAAGTAACTAAGTCAGCTGCTTTAAAAAAGCGCTTACAAAAACCTGCAGCTGCCACACTTACGCTCCAGCTCCACCCCCACAAGGGGAGGAGGGAAAGCAAACAGGCACACCTGTGCACAGGATGCTGGCTCCTGGACACAGCAAAAGCGCCTCCATAGCTAAGAAAATCCATAGAGAGGACCCAGTACATCCTGGGCCGCCAGCCACACATGGCGATGGCTGCGGCCGGCCGCCACTTCCCCTAGAATAAACGTGTGCAGAGAACACAGGAAGGGGGGAGAGGTGACAAGCTGCAGGATCAGGCCTAGGCAGTCAGGGTCATTTGTCCCAGGTGTGTGTGGAGGGAGTGGCGCCTTGCACAAGTCCTGCTCCTAGCCCCACCTCACACCTCAGGGCATCAGACCCTTGTAAGTCAATTGTTAGCTCAAGGTTATAGTTCCAGAAATCACAAAATAGACATTACTTGTGGTCTCTAAACTTCTCATTTAGAATTTTCTATACCTTGCCTCAGCATAAATTTTTCCCTCCAAATATTAACACTAGTTGTCCCATATGGCACTGTTACTGGCCTGAAATGCCCTCTGAATGCCCTTCTCTAACTTTACAAATGATTTCTTTGTTAAAAAGGTAGCCTTTATTAAAGAGGCTGCCTGCTGTTAGCTAAAAGACAGGATCCTAACGTTTTG